GTATTTGTAAAGAGTATGTAATTGTTGTGACTGCTTCAGTTGCAGCTACGTACTGCTTGCTGAATTTTTTGCATTTTTCAATGCTTTACAAAAAGAGGTACAAATTAAAGAAGAAAGGAACGAGTCTCTAAATTGCTTTCTAGCAAATAACCTAACAAGGCAGTAGATTCCAGTAAAATTCAGCAACTGCTTTATAGTCATAAACCTTGACGAGTGGAGTGACGCCAAAATAGCCCCAAAACGAAGAGTCAGAAAAAAAACGCTCTAATTTAGATTTAAGCCAGCGTTTTTCTGAGCAGTCAGCAAGAGAAATTACTGCATTCTCCCTGACATACACATAGAAGGATTGGAAGTGAGCTTTTCTATGTGAGCTTTTCTATGTTCACGTTTTTTGCCTGAATTTTAGTGAAAAAATGAGTTATTTTTGTACGAGAATATGAAAAATGATAAAAGCTGATTGTTCCGCTTAATTTTTTTTAAAAGTTATTTGTACCTTCACCATTATTCTTTCACTGTTTTTCAGTTCGATAGAGAACTGAATTTCTTGAGTCATTTAAAACTTTTTTCCATTCACCCGTCATGTTTTTACACGTTTTTGAACTCCTGCCTACGTAGATTAAAAAAAAGAAACAATAGATAACTCCAGGAAACAAGCAAAATAATAACAGTGAATAGATTAATACTGGTGCATTAATAATTGAATTTATGGTCATATTTCTGCTAAAATCTCAGCGGAAAAAGCCAAAAAGCAAAAAATTTGGAAAACAAAAGACATTTCCAATTTGGTGTGAAAATTTTTGCGAGCAGGAATGCCCTCTTCTGAAGGAATTTTAACGGTTTTGGCTCAATGCCACTGTGTATTAAAAAGGCAGCCGGGTGTTATCTGACTTACTCCCATCAAAGTGTCATTAACTTTTGTTTGAGTTGTGTGCATGATGTTTTGTTAATGTCTTTTCGTTTGTAGATGTTCAGCCCTTTTGTATTCCAAATTTCTCGCTGTTTTTTTCACTTTCTGCCGAGATATTGCTGAATATGTCGGAGGATTTTTATTTATAAATGTTACTTTGTAACTTATTAACTGTTGTAATTTTGTTTGTATCCATAGAAATTTCTTATTTTTTCGTTGTTGTAAGGGGCAGATATCGTAGATAACAAATATCTGAAAAAAAAAAGGGGGGGTTGCCGAGCAATAATGTAGAAAAAAAGATTTTAATGAAATAATTAAAGACACGCGATTTTTTAATATATGAAAAAAGCTTACAGAAAGTT